TAAAAACCATCCCTCTAGCAGCTAACACTCTCTAACTTATGAAATTTATACCTTAAATGCTTCAGACTACTCTTTGGTTCTCCTGGGACACATGATCACAGATCTGGATCCACACAGAACACCAGCTCTCCAACTTAACCCTATTAATATTTGGACAACGAAACCTCAAACTGTCTCATCTATAAAATATGAATAAGAAATGATCCAACCTCTGGCCAGCCTTGCACACAGAATTGCTGTTGGCTGTGGACTGGACTAATTTTTGCTATGGAAATCAGTCTTCTAACAGCTTCTGCTCTGGTAACCCCTTTCAGACTCAAACCCTTGTACACATGAGGAAGACGGGTGTGTATAAGCACAACTTTTCAAAATGCTTCCCTAGCCTTTGAAAACTGGTGTCATCTGATTTAGAGCATTTTTTATTTAGATTTCCATCCTTTCTTCCTTATCAATGGCTTTCTGAGATAGGAAAAACTTGATTCACCTACCTTAAACTAGGCCATTTAACCATGATCACGCTTAGTGTCTTAAAAAAAATGGTCTGAATGTTATAGTCCCTGTATAAGAACGGAACAAACTGAACAGAAAACGAGTATTTCACCATTAAACCTCAGGCACTAGGACTAAATTATAGACAGCAACCTAGAATAACTTGTACTCATTCACCGAGTCTAGATTTAAATCCAGATTAGGCCTCCTCTTCTTGTGCTTTTTTTCCTTCTATCTCTCCTTTGTTTATTAGGAACAAAACACTAGGTGACTCATTTTGAGACAAGCTGCAAACCTATATATCTTCTAAAACTACTGGATCAGAATCGAGCTGACATCTCATCCAGTTAAAACACCCCCAAAGAGCTAGTATGTTTTACCGGCTAAGCCATTGATCTACCCTTTGCCTTTATTGCTTTCATCAGAATCGGGGTGGAAGGAAAAGGCTCATCTCAGAAGATAAATGAAAATGCTTCTGTGTGTTCACAAAGCTCCTCTAAATTAATGATTTTTATGTGCCAAACTGCAGAATGGAGATAGTGCTCATTCCAAATGTACACATAATAATTATTCAGAGTCTATCTGGGTGTTTTTCAGAGATTGATTTTCCAGGGTTGTCATAACCAATGGAAAGCTCTTAAATGAATGGCCATCCAAACCACCTGCTTCTTCGCCCACTGCTGCTGTCTTCATCTAAATTGTACCCTGCCATTTCAGCCTGTGCTCTGCTTGACACACTCTTGAGCATCCTTCCTCAACCAGCACAGAAGTGGCTTTCCCTGAGAAGCCTTCTCTAGTTCCCCTTCTCTAGCTTCCCCTACTGAAAGCTTTCATGCAATCTGTCTCTTTCACTAGACTGGGTTTTTGGAGGGCCGGGACCCTATCTTTTACAGCTTACTATTCCCATTGCTTAGAACAATAACTGAAGCATGTTCTCAGGCTTTGATTAAGACTCTTGAATGCAAAGCAAATACACGTGATTGATAGCTATGCTGGGTGAGAAATGTCTCCCAAAGATGCATTGCTATACTCTGCCCATGTTCACAGCTGTTTACCTATAAACATATATGCATCATGGATGTAGTATAACATTTTGCATAACATACCTCTGGGTGTAGTGTAGCATTTAGAAAGGTGACCAAGAAAGGGTACTATTAGGTGATGAGAAAGGATGGAATGCAGGCAAAAGAACCCATGAATCATAAAAGAGAATGTAAAGCTAATTGTTTTTTCTAGTTTCAACTCTCTCATAGATTTTTTATAGTGAATAAGTTCATAAAAATGTAACTGAGAGTGAAAGAGGAAAGGCCTAAGCATGGCCATTCTAACTTTTCATACGTTCATTGGGTTGCACTGAGTTTGAGCCAGAACAAGTGTTTGAGTGGTTACCATAATCTAGCTGTGTGGCATTGTTGTTTGTGAGTTCGTTACAATAAAGGGATTTTGAAAATGTAGTGCTATAAAGAGCCTTCCTCAATGGGGCATCAGTAACTCTCCCTACAACTGGTCCCCCTGACCCACCCATCTCTACTTTGCCCAGACCCAATCAGGGTGCTCATATGCAATGGGATTCACGAACTGCAAACAGACTTTGAAAATTTAGAGATTATTTGCTATCACTAATTTCTGGAAAGTTGAAATTCATAGGATAATTTTGTTCTTTTCTGAATTAATAGGAATAGAATTTTTGAGTATTTCTGTGGAAAGAAAGCCATAGATTGCTCAGTATCTTCATTTTATGGATTCTGACTGCTCCAAGAAAAAGCATGATGAAGTCATGGCAAGACTTATCTGACCCAAAGACTCATAGAAAACAAAACCAAAAACAGACTAGCTCAAGCTATCTTTAGCTTGTGGAAATTCACTGGGAATCCTCTGAATTTCCAAGTTAAGAATATTAACCTTCTTGTCTAGCTTATCTCAGGGCTATTTCCAAGCCTTTTCATGAAAATTGCTTCTGCTCAGATCACCCCAGAGACACAGGGGCAACAGAAAATCATTAGAAGATTAATCCCTCAAATTACTTGAACATTAAAAGGCTCTTTAATCCCCAGCACCTAATTGGATTCTCATAATAAATCAGTAAAGAAGACAGACTTAAAACCTGTCTTACAATGGTGGCCTGCATTGTATGAGGTCACTGAGAACAGAAAAAGGCCTAGAACCCAAGTTTACTGATTTTTCAGTCTCATGGTTTTTGGCAATCTTGCCACACTATTTTTCCCCGAAAGACTGATCTTCTGAACTGCCACATAAGCTGTCCTAGGAATAGGTGCATCTATTCCTACACCATACTGAGCACAAGGCTCAGCACAACAAAATACAACTGACTGAGCAAACCCTCTCTTAAACATTAGCCCCGGAGCAACATTTCCCTCTCTTTTAGGAGGGTAAATGCAATGGCACCCCTCATAGTAAGCATCAACTGGTTCCTTTTAGAATCACATGGGTAGCAAGGCAACTGAGGATAGTTCTCGGAGATGTGCATCTTGTTGTCGTTTGTTGTTTGTTTGAACCACTTAACTAGTTAGTCACTGATTTGGCCTAGTGCTTCCTTTCCAATGATGCATATCCACGTGGGCTGCTGGCAAGGGCTTCAAGCCTTTTCCTCCTCCCTCTAATACTTTCTACTTGAGAGTCTGCAAATAGGTCCTTAGCCCCTGCTGGGTTCTCAGGTGTAGCTGGAGAGCCTCTCTCTAGGTCCCACCAAGCCCTGCAGTCCCACACCCACGTATAAAATAATCACTCAGACACTTATATTACTTATAAACTGTATGGCCGTGGCAGGCTTCTTGTTATCTACTTCTTCTACCTTAAATTAACCCATTTCTATTAATCTATAAGTTGCCACATGGCTCGTGGCTTACCGGTATCTTACATCTTGTCATCGCGGGGCTGGCAGGTCTCTCTGCCTCAGCCTTCCCAGAATTCCCAGAACTCCCAGAATTCTCCTCTCTCCTTATCCCACCTATACTACCTGCCTGGCTACTGGCCAATCAGCTTTATTCATCAATCAATCATCCACAACACTCAGGAGTCTGAAAGATCCCTAGAAATCAAGCAAATTGAGTACTCCTCAAGGGCAGAAGCCATGTCTCCGTTACTACTAAGCTTGTATTTCCTTCCACAAAGTAGGGACACCACAAATCCTGAATAAATGAACTGTTCCAAGTCTATTTTCAGAGCATATGTGACTTGTCCAATGTCATACAAGAAATATGTGTTCACCATAACTTAATTCTTAATAATGGCTTAACAAGTAACATTTTTCCAATAGCATTAGCATTTTTAAAAAAGAGAGTCCTCCTGATCAAAAGTCAAGATAAAAAGTCAGTTACATAGCAAGCTCAAGGCTAGCTATGGCTCCACAAGACTCCGCCTCAAAGTAAAACAAAACTAAATTAAAGATAAATACAAACAAAGTAGACTCTCTGCCTTTGTTTGAAAAAACGATTTCATGGTAAGATTAGTGGTAGGCTTGTAAAAAGGAATAAATAGGTTGACAGTTGCTTCTTGTAGCTAAGTGTGGCTCTAATTGCAAGTTCCTCCCAAAAGAGTTACTGGTGATCATTTGTTAGGCCAATATTTTTCTCACTCTATCCTTCTGAGCTAGGGATGCTACTGTTTCTGTACATTTTATGGTAATGTTTAGGTATCATTATATGGATTGAGTTGGAAAACTATGTCTACTAATAAGCTAAAACTTAAATAAAACAGTCTCTGATAATAAAAGGAGTAGGGAGGACAATTAGCCCCAGGGACATAATTGACACCATAACCCAGTGCTTTGACTTATTGTGGGGCATTTACCCACCAACCCCACAGCTTCCCAGAGTTTTCTTGAGTGAGAGCAGCAGGAAATATTAGATAGAAGGATTTATTGTGGAGAATATCGCAGAGATAAACAGAAAATAAAGGATAGCCTCGAGAGGGCCTGGAACTTATTCCAACGGGCCCTGACTATCTCTGTCCCAGGGTTTTTATAGAGACGCCAAGGGGTGGAGCAAAAGACCTCTTCCCCCAGCACAGCCAAGTGCAGACCATCTCGGACACCTGCACTCAGGCCGGTGGTCCTGATCATCCTCTATTCAGACCTGCTGGGTAAAGTCACGAGGAACCCAAGAACGGGCTCCCACAACTTATTCGCTGTCTTAAGTTGCTTCATGGAAAGAAAAGGCATGAGAATAATGCCCATACCTAACACAGTGACGTCAAGGATGCCTTGGTTTTTGCCGACAAAGTCTGGAGGATTGTTGACATCACAGATGTAAATTCCACTGTCCGCTGGTTGCATACGCAAAATGGTGATCGATGCATTACCTGGATTAGTCGACCTTATAATTCTATCCTTGAATTGCCCAATAGCTGAAGCTTGTCCACCTTCAGAGTAGAAAATCTAGGGTAAAAAAAAATAGTAAAACAGAGAACCTGAGAGTATCCAGGCTGAGGATAAGTTACCAGGAAGTCCCTTCTATCTGTGGTCCCTGTAGTCAAGATTTCTCAGTTCAGTGGGGCATTTAACTTTCTGACTGCTGTTGGTAGCCATTACCTCATTTGCCTCCAACAGCTCTGTGATGTCACTAGCGCAGGGACTGGGAAGCCTATTTTACAAAAGAGGGGACAATTGGAATTCAGAGGATTCAACTTCTAACCCTGGGCTAGGAAAACATGACACTCACCTGCTCACTCTACCTGGTAGAAACTCTTCCGCATATGAGGTATATCTCAAGAGATATTACCACTCTATGAACTTCTGATTCGAGTTTACCTTGCCCACTGAGACTGTGCTCCCTAAAAGTTCAAATGTTCATGTTCCTTTCATGCATACACACCTCTTGGCTAAGCACACTTGGATTTATTCTGTTTGTTAGAAGGATAAAGCTTCAGGACAGACTATTCCCTGAGAAATCAGTTGGTCTCATTCTCTCTTAGTGGCTGTGGTGGGATAAAACCAGGCAAACCAGTAAAAAAGGCTTACAAGGCACTTGGCCCATGTTAGCTACCATCTTTCTCTCCATGTCAAATAAGGGAACTCAGAACTTCAGGTGACTCATCTGAAGGCACAGGATTCACTTGTTGATGCTGTTGTTACATTTACAATGTACTGGACTTGAGGCAAGCAGTGATATATACCTGTAGTCTCAGTCTCTTGGGAAGCTGAAGCAGGGGCACCATGATTTTGAGGACCACCTAAGCTAGAGAGCAAGATGATCCTTAAAAACACTCCTGTGCATGCTCAAGCAAGACCAAATCTCCCACGGAAAGGGAAGGTGGGCATGAAGTCCACCCCTCCTAGCTGAGGAGCAATTGGAAATTGATAGCTGCTGGGAGAGGAAAAGTCAGTTTTAAGACTGTTGTCCCTGAGAAGTCAACTGCATGCCAATGGAAGGCCACCCATTCAGGAATATATATATATATATATATATATATATATATATATATATATATATATATATATCACAAATTGATTTGATGGGTAGAAAATGAGAGGACACAAAATTGGGTGGGTAAGGAAGGGGAATGGATCTGGGAACAGGGTACAGGGGGCGAGTAGGATCAAAACACATTGTACAAAAAAAAAGCTACAAGGAGTTTGTGGCTGCGGAAAGAGGGAGAATCAGGATTCCCCGGGGATGAGCCCCCTAACTGGTTATTCAATAGCAAGTGGCCAGCCCTAAAAATGTACACATATGCACAACACTATATGGGCTCAGCGGGTTGTATTTATATGTTTACCCATATATATGTAATAATAATAATTAAAGAAAAAACACATGAATTTGAGAGGGACCAAGGTGGAAGGGAAGATATGGGAGAGGAAGGCAGGAAAGGGAGGGAAGAAATGTTTTAATACAGTACACATATACAAAAGTTAAAAATAATAAAAAGATACTATCATATAGCAAAATTGTTTAAAAAATAAATTTTATAATAAGATAACTGGCGCCGGGCGGTGGTGGTGCATGCCTTTAATCCCAGCACTCGGGAGGCAGAGCCAGGTGGATCTCTGTGAGTTCGAGGCCAGCCTGGGCTACCAAGTGAGTCCCAGGAAAGGCGCAAAGCTACGCAGAGAAACCCTGTCTTGAAAAACCAAAAAAAAAAAAAAATAAGATAAGATAACTGATTAAAGAAATATCTGAACTCTACTCCCATCTCCATTAAACTGCATGGATCTTAGGTATTAATGGCAAATGTAGGATAAGAATGATGTGGTAGAGAGAAGTCTGGCCTAGGTGTCACATGACCTAGGTTTTCCCCACAGCTCTGCCTCTGACTGTGATGTAGTCACATGAGGTATCCCCTAGCTATGCCTCCATAGCAACTTGCTGGGTGATAAGAAGCAGAGATAGCTAATCTCTCTAACCTTTTAGTTTCCACATGTGAACGAGGAGCCAGAGCAATGTTTTCCAAAGGAGGACATTGATTTTCAGTGATGTCTACGTGTCTACGTGAAAACCCTCTAACGTTAATATGTGCAAGAGAACACATCTAGCATACCAAATATGTAACCTTAGGGATATTATTGCTTAGGTGACACTCGGCTTTTAGGAATTTAAAAGCCTCAGTCAACATAAAAATTATTAACTAAAAAATCGTTTCAGGGATACACAAATATGACAAAAATTATGAGGCTGGGGCATGACTGACTACAACTTGGGAATCACTAGATGAGGTAATGAGACCTCAGTTCCCTTCACAATATACATATTCTGTGTCCACAGTTTGCTAAATTAATATAAATGTGTGTCATTCCACGGCTGCTGTTTATGTCTCATAAATTGGGATTGCTTTAGTCTAATGAGACAAGTTATTTTCATAAAAAAAGCTTCTAGATGGTTTTTCCATTTCATTGACTTCATTAGCCTCACTTCAAGGAAGAAACTGAAACCAGGGGAGGTTTTAAAAATGGCACAAAATTAACAGTTGAGGGATGGGTGTGAAACTGAACGGAAGAGCACTTGCCTAGCATGGATGATGTCCTCCATTTCACCTCAGTTGGAAAAAAAGGGGGTGAAACACAGGAACAAAACAAATTTAAACAGGAGTAAAACCAGTTCCCCTAAGTCCTTGCCCAGAGCTCTTTACCCACCCGATCTATTAAAAAGAGAAAGGAGTCAGAAAAACCAAAAGAAGATATTGTCTAGTGGGGTTCACAGCTCTTCTCCTTTACACAGAAAGGGGATACATTTGAAAGGAAGACCAACAAGCAGACTTTTAAGGGAAAATTTTCTAAAAAATAAGCATAATTAAAGTGAAAGCAACATACTCTCTCCTCTGTTTTCTCTAACATTCTTTCCTGCCCTAAGCACAGTGTCCTGTACTTCATTTATTCACGCCTCCTAAACTTAACCCTGATGTGGCCGTATTTGACTAGAAACCAGAAAGCCACAATTAACTCAAGGTATTCAAATGAGACAGATGTAGATTTAACTTATCGAAGGACTTGGCTACACAGCAGGCAACACTAAGTCTACTTATGTGGTAACGGCAGCATGAGATCCAGCCTCTTACCTGAGACACAGCCTGCTGCCATCAGGACAGCCCTTCCAACCCAAGCCTCTGACCAGTTCCTCTGCTCCCAAGAGGAGACAGGCCAGCCCTGCTTTATGACATTTGATGATGTCACAATGAGCTACAGCGTTAATCCTGCCACAGAAAGCAGGGCTTTCTCTCAATGTCTCCTCTTCTTGCCCTCTTTGCCAAGCTGGTGGCCGGTGGGTAGAGTCACCGAAGCCTATTAGTGATTAGATCCTCTTTGAGATCACTTGGTTCACGTCACTAAGGTTCAGGAGCCAGATGGATATTGGAAATATGAGAACAAGGTGGGGCAGGGTCTAGAAGTAAGGGTAGGCTTATAAAGGCCAAGGGGACCATGGTATACTGAAGAGCTGGCATAACCTGTGGAAACAAAATGCTGGCCCAGCCAACCAAAATACATCTGCTGGCCAAATCAGCCCCGAGCCTCTAGTTTGTAAATTCTGATTCATTCTCATCTATTACAAAGGACACTGAGGCCCTAATAGAGGAAATAATTCTTTCCAAGGTCACACAGTCAATTTATAGTCAAATGTGGAATCCGAGCCTCATGATTCCCACCGCAAGCATTAAGTAGCACTCTCAGTCCTGCCCAAGACAACGGTGATGATTTACCTTCCCTTTGGGACCGTTCCATTGCCTAGGACCACCTCCCTTTCCTACCTCATGCCAGTTGCTGCCATTCCCTGGTCTGCTGCTTCCTATCCTGAACAGTTCGGCCACACGGTGCACTCTGCATTCTCCAGCTGCACTGCAGGCTCCTTGGTATCTTTGCACGGCAGCCTTCCGCTGCCTGCCATGCCAAGTTCCTAGTCACACACGGCTGCAGCTGGCAGCCAGTTGTTTCCTCCATTTTGCACCACCCACTCTCAAACTAGAAGCTTGATGTGTGAGCAAGAAGGCTTGAAAGGATCCCATCTGCTTTCGATTTGAGTGAGAGTTGGCTTTACTAAATGCCATGAGCTTTCAGAACTGTTTCCCAGGTTCCTTTGGGAGATATGGAAGCCCGGGAGTCCACAGCTAAACCACACATTCTTTCCTTTTCCTCCCTTCCAGCTTCTTGCTTTCCGGCATTGTTCCTCAAACAGCTAGACATGGGTGGGAAAGTGGCAAAGGTTTCAGGCCCAGAATTTTGTCTTTCTGTACTGTGAAGGCTGGGATTGTACACAATAGAAACAGAATACTGTCAGAAAGGCTCTCTTGTTATTTGCTTGAGCTGTCCACTGTTTGAGTGACTGTTGAGAGTGCTTTTTGTCTGAAATAATGGGAGATCCCTGCGTAGGTGCACTTCTTCAACAGAAATGAAGCCCAGAATAGAGAAACATTAGTGAGAAGAGATGGAAGACTTATAGTGTTCTTCCCTGACAGCAACAGTAGCATTTGGGACAATTGGTTGTGTGGCTCTGTGGCATGTATTACAGAGCATAGCAGCTCTAAGCCAGCACTCAGCAAATGTCACTAAGGGCTGAAGGTCCTCAAAAATAAAATCAATGCCTCTCCATTATTCAATTCCCCTGAAGAGATGGAATACACACACACACACCAAGATTGCTGAACCATTTGAAGTAATATAACCAACAGAAAGGACAGAACAGTTTTAAAAATGTAAGAAGTCATAAAATATGACATAGACACTAGGTTCTGGGGATGAAATTGTCCAAAGTGTACACATGTCATGGATATGAGGATGGTGAAGGATTTCTATTGTAAGGACTCTAGTGGAGCACTGTCTAATGGACCCATGCTAAGCGTGCCAGTGTGCATTTTATTCATGGCTAAGTATTGTCTCTAGCTCTAGCATAACAAGCCAGATGGAAAAGGGAAGAATCTATGGCCAGAGGAGCACCAGATCTCCCCAAACTTCCTTGGTAACCTGCTTGTGTCAGGTGAGTTTTCAGAGGAGACTGCCCCCTGAGGGATGGTGTAAAGCTGTCCATAGTTTTGGACACAGGAAATTTCTGAAAGGAAGACCAAAAGGATGCTCTTTGTCCTCAGGATCAGAGGACTTGTGGAAAGAGCATTTTCCATGCACCAAAGGGACCTCCCTAGAGAGGGCCTTCAATGAGACACAGTATGTGGCCCTGGGTACTGAGAAACACCATCCCCCAGAGTCAATTGCTATTTAATGCAATAGTTTTGAGGAGAAGGAGAGAGACATGTGGCAAAAGCTGTCCACCAGCTTGATCAGAGCAGCTATAGGGCCCTGAATCTTTTGGGGGAGGATTGAAAGAATTCTAGGCATGGGCATGAGAAAGTGAACGCAAAAAAAAAAAAAGAAAGAAAGAAAAAAAACTTCTCTAGGCTTTATCTCATTTTTAAAAAACTATTTATGAATATGCACATGTATCTGTGTGTGGTTATGTGCATGGGAGTGAAGGCGCCCAAGGAGGCCAGAAGAGGGTATTGGGTCCCCTGGATTTAGGCAATTATGAGCCATCTAACACGGCTGCTGGGAATCAAAGTCAGGTCTTCTGTACTATCAGCAAGCTCTCTTACCTGCTGAGCCATCTCTCAAGACCATACTTTTCTAGTTTTTATTAGCACAAATGATACACACCTATAATCTCAGTACTTAGGAGGCTGAAGCAGGAGGATCCGAAGTTCAAGACCATCCTGTACTCTATACAGGTCCTGTCTTAAAAGCCAAACCACAACAAAACAAACTTCCCCAGATTTATATAGGGCTTGCACTGATCTGTATTGTTACCAAACATAAACCCTTCCATCCCACTCCTAAGGCAGGTGCTAGTGTCCTAGGCTGCACTTAGTGGAGGGATCTAGTAGTACATCAATGGGTTTTCTTACCTGAGAGGTCCAGCTACATCTTCCCCGAGCGTCTCTTGCATGCACCATTTTTAGACACTGACTGACTGCCTTTTCCTCCATACCCTCAGTACTGGGATGCGAGCCATGCTGTGTTTGAGCAGAAATGGGTGGATCTGAGAGCTGAATGCTACATGCTATATTGCCACATCAACCCAGGAGTTGAATTAAATCACTCAGTGGTCAGTCTAGCAACACCTAACTCCCATATGTCACAGAATGTTCTATAAACAGCAGTCTCTATTACAGATACATGTAGGGAGATGGTGGCTTAAGAGAGCACTTCATGTATCACAGGCAGGCCTTGAACTTTTAGGAAGTCATTAATGACCTTGAATTTCTGATCCTCCTTCTTCCACCTCCTGAGTTCTAGCATTACAAGCATGCACGACCATGCCTGGTGTATGTGGTGCTAGGGAATTGAACACAGGGCTGCATGCACACTAGGCAAACATACTATCAACTGAGCTACCTCTACAGCCTAGTGATCTCTTTTTAACATCCACAAACATCCCACTGGCATTCGCTAGATGAACTTACAACGTATTCTACAGGCATTTAAATGTATGAAAATGGGAAGGCACCTGGAGTGAAAGCCACATTCTCTTTTGAAAAATACTATCTCAACCCTGCGAACTGAACTCTTAGCTGAACAAGTTCTGCTCAAGAATGAGAAGTAGCAGAGAAAAGGGTTTGGGCTCTCCCTCCAGCCATTAGGGACCTAGTAGGGAGAACAACTGGAGGTCCAAGGCCAGGAAATTCCTAGAGCACTGTCACAGCTGAGTTATATAGTTATGCTAAGTATACCTTGTTGGGCTGATATAGCTGGGGCATGGATGAGATGATTTTGAAAAGCCCAATTTTAGCCGGGCGGTGGTGGCGCACGCCTTTAATCCCAGCACTCGGGAGGCTGAGCCAGGAGGATCTCTGTGAGTTCGAGGCCAGCCTGGGCTACCAAGTGAGTTCCAGGAAAGGCGCAAAGCTACACAGAGAAACCCTGTCTCGAAAAACCAAAAAAAAAAAAAAGCCCAATTTTATGAATGGTGATATTAATGATAATAGTTCATAGTCACCGAACGTTTGCAGTATAGAAGGCTTCCTAGTGTTTCATAAGAACAATCTCCTCCAATTTTTTTTTCATTAAAGCTGTCAAGATAGGTGAGTATCCCCATTTTACAGGCGGGTAAATTGAATCTCTAAAAAGGAAAGTGACTTGTCTAGGGTCATCCAGCCAGCAAATAGGTGGCAGAGTGAGGAGCAGAACTGACATCCATCCAGAAGTTTCTACTGGGACCCCAAACTGATCCCAAAGAAAAGCCCATGGATGCATGGTAGAAGAGAGGAGAGGGAAGAAAGGGAAGAAGAGGAGAGAAGAGGAAATCCAGTTATCTTGAAGTAGAGACTCAAAGAGGGCTGTGATGGGGATGTGGCAAGGGTAAGTAAGCTGAGGTAAGATGGGGAAACAGGAGAGAAGAAAGTTTGTGTTGGGGTGGGTGGTTTTCACCCTCCTTGTCCTCAAGCAGCCCTGGTCCTCCTTGTCATCCTCAGCACAGGTATTGCAACGGTCTCAAGCATTTTTCATTTGATCTAGCAGCTCAGGGGAAAGAACTTCATGTGGTCTGGCAAGTAAAGAAAGCAATTCATCAAATACTTGTCAAAAGATTTTTAAAAGGCTCTTCTAAGAGAAGGCCCAAGCTCCACTGCAATTGCCTAAAGCTTCTTCTCCTGCAGTCTCTTCCTAAGAAAAGTTTATTGCTAGTCACAATCTTCTCCCTGCTTCTAAGTGGCCAGAGTTCAATCATGAGTGGCTCTGTAAATTCCAATATCGGGGCATACAAAGTGAAGAATCTGCACTCTTGAGCTCAGATTCGCTTGGTCTGGCCTCCAGGAAGTTGAGGACATCTTGAACTGACTATCAAGCACAAGACATTTCAAAAGATGCCGAGGTCTCTCTGAATGCAGCTACCACTAGAAAAATGAGAAGGACAATGTGTTGACAAGACTACTAAGAAATCAAAGTTTTAAAAGAATGGATCATGTGATTATTGCCATCTTAAGTGAAAATAACCAGTGGGAAAAAGCAATTATTTCTTAGTTGACACAAACATATCGGGACACTTTAGGTGATGGAAACTGGCAGCATTAGTGTTATTATTTGCTGCTGATGGTCCTGCTGTTGATGTTTCCATGGGATAAAAGTGAAAGAGCTTTATATTTTTCAAATGTTTTCATACGCCTTACAACAGATCATTCCCCATGAGTACTATCTTTCTATTGTATTTTAAAGAGAGGGAGAGGCAGGGAGTGATACCAATATTGTCTAACGATAACCAATATTAAACAAAACTGTTTAACTTTAAGTACAGGGTAGCAATGATGGAATATCCCTGTGGAGAGATAAGGAAACGTTCACACTCTCAAGTAGAGAAATTCTGTACCTACAAAGTGTCAGTGACAGCTGAAGCCAAGATGTGGCTCCTCCAAGCTGATACCTTCCTTCCCCTCCACTTCTTTTTTTTTGGGGGGGGGAGAGTTCGAGATAGGGTTCCTCTGTGTAGCTCTGGCTGTCCCGGAACTCACTCTATAGACCGGGCTGGCCTCAAACTCACAGAGATCCTCCTGCCTCTGCCTCCCAAGTGCTGGGATTAAAAGCATGCGCCACCACTGCCCGGCCCTTCCACTTCTGCTTCTAGGCCACCCTCCCTCATCTTCCTAATGAAAAAATCTCCCCTTTCCCCCAAAGCCCAACTCAGGTGCAGCTGACTATTCCAAACCACCGTTGTTGGTCTCTTCACTATTTGGGGTCACGAATCATTTTGTGAACCTGGTAACCGTAGACCTTATTCTTCAAGGGATGTATAGAGGCATGAATGGTAAATGTGTTTGCATACACATGTGAACAGATGTACACACACACATACATCTATGTAATATGATTTTAGCTTTTGGGATAATTTTCAGAAAGAGTAATTCTCAAAGCCAAACAAGGAAAATCTAGCTAGGCAGTTTGCCTGTGAAATCATCTTTCCCCATAGGTGCTCATCCACCCTGTTCTGGCAACTTCTCCCAAAACCTTTGTCTACCCCTTCCATCTTTTGTCTTCTGACCTCATGCTGCCCTTGATTACATAGGGTTCATTACTACCACAGCCCTTCTCCATCCATCTGGGGAATCTCAAAGTGTCAGGACTCAATCTGGAACAATGAGTGAATTCCCTTGACAGGCAGATCCCAATTATTACATTAGGCAGATTCATTAGGGTTTGCATGTGAACTAGAGTCTTCTGGAAATAACAGGGCGATATTTGGAAGATACCCTTTAAAAGCTACTGCTTACTTCACCTATGAGGAAGCCTGTGGTTATTCTGGAATACGTGGTACACATGATGCTGACTATTCAAAATTGAGATAACAGACAATCATAAACATGGGAACACAAAGACCAAGTCATTTAGATAGACTGCCACCCCTAAACAGCTATCTAAAAATTCAGTGTCTCAAATTTTGTCATTGTTCTCACTAGCTCCTTCATATTTCACTGTTCCTTCATAATTCTCATCCCAACAGTTTTCAGAGAGAACTACTAAGTGGGAATAATTTAGTTAGAGAATCCTTACAGAAACTGGCTCCGTGTCCTTATTGTGGAAGAAAGACCATTGGATTGTCAGCTTGTCCAGGGACTTCACAGTGGTGGTATAAAGGCAGAGAAGAGTAGCATTAGACCCAACAGTCACATTCACGAAAGTGTTTGGGATGGTCACTTGCACCATACGAACCTGACCTGAAAAGATAATCATCAGATAATTAGTAGTGCATACATTCTGATGGCGAAGAGAGTAGAATGCAACATACAGGAGACCTGAGGCAGACAATAGACACAGGAAAGACTTTCTCACTCATAATTTTCTAACAAATTATGACAAGAAGATGATCAAAACCTAGATGATGGTGAGATAATATCACTGGTATTTCATATATGGTAATTCATATAAGGGTCATGTTATACACAGCTTCTTAGGGTTTTACTCAGGAACACTAAAAGGTTTGAGTATGGAGATCAATCAACCCAGATTTCCCATGAGAGAGTGGTCCTTGAATACAGAGCACTTATTTAAAGAACTAGGTAAGTCAGAAGCAAAGGCTTTGCCAGGGCTTTCAAGGCCCAAACTAGGAAAACTCTGGACAAGTTAACTGTCCTATACCTACGAGCACTGTATGTGGTGGGGCTTACTGGGAGATCTAAATTATTCCATGGTAGTACGAGGATGTCAGTTTTCTTATACACTTTCATCCTTTATGAGTATATACTGAAGTGAACCAAAATCTACATAATAGGTAATAATGTTACTGATCTGGTGACTAAAGGAATATATGTTGTGTATTTTTCTAATTTTTTGTTTTAATTTTTAACTCAGAAAATGTAGGTAGAAATATTGTACATTGAGAAATCATTTTGAGGGACCTCCGTAACTTTTTGTGGTGTTGAAGCCAGAAAACAGAGGCTTGTGCATGCTTAAGTAGGCACTGTACTTCTGAGCTAAAAGTTCATGCTCTCATTACTGGTTTGTCTTTGGTCGCATTATACAGAGATGCCATGATTTGTATGATCTCACTTATTTTAAATTTAGGTTTGGATGGCCGAGTATGTGGTCTCTCTCAGTCCACATTTTGTAGGTGCTTGAAGAAAATGTTCATTATGCTATTGGTGGGCTGTGTGGTTTATACAAGAAGATGTCATTTACAGCACTGCACAAGGCTCTGAGTTCAATTCCCAGCACTGCAAAGTAAAAGACCAAACAAACCATGATGCATATGTGAAGCATAACAATCTACTACTGTCAATATTTTACTAGTTGTAGTGATATGTATAAATTTCACTTATGTTTTGGTCCACTTACCTTCTCAACATTTAAATGTCATTGTCTCAAATAGAAGATAATGGTATAAGAGAATGCTGTAGTTTTTCTTTCAATCATCACATATTATATACAGAACTCATAAATTAAAGCAGACAACTATATATATATTCATATTTCTGACATTTCTTTTGTTCCTTCTTCTATCTCCATAGTGCTTTAAGACCCTTCCTTTCATCAGCTTCTTTATTTCAGAAATAATTCATTTAGCTATTCTTCAAGGGTATGCCTGCTAGGTGAAGATACTTTTTCTACCTTTGACTGAGAATCTCATTATTATTTTCCCTTAATTTGTGAAAGATAGTTTCACTAGATACAGATTCTATTCTCTGTCATCTTTGCTGTACTACTGAGACTATCAGCATGTTTCTTATTTTTATTATTGTATTTTTTTAGTTCTATTATTTCCACTTGGGTTTCTTGGGAAGACAAATAATCTAATTTTACTTCAAAATAATTCAAAGTAGAGGAAAATTGAGGGTGAAGTTATACATTAAAAAAGTCTCCAGGAGTGGAAATACAGCTTGGGGGTAGAGTACTTGCCTAGCAGGTACAGAGCCCTGATTTTGATCACCAGCAATGCAGAAAGAAGTCTTCAGGGAAATAGATGACTGCAATGTCTGACTCTTATTTGACTTCCTTGTTTCTCAATTTAAAATTAACTGAAAGGTACTTGTACACATGGGGTGCATGTGTGGTATCCTTGGTGTCCTGATATATTACACAGTAATTGTATCATTAACTGATATAGCCATCATTTAACACATTTATCATTTTTTGGTAATGAGGACATTTAAAATGTATTCTCTTAGCCACTTTGAAATATACACTATATAATTACAATTAGTAAAGAAAAGAGTCATGGATTTGAATGAGGGGTAGTACATATGGGAGGGTTTAGAGGAAGGAAAGGGAAGGGAGAAATTATAATCTCAAAAAAATTTTTTACAAATAAATGCACACTATACTAGCTATGGTCACTTTGATATGTAATAGGTTTTTAGTTTACATTTCCTGTCTAACTGGGACTCTGAATGTGTTGAACATCAATTTTATGCTCAATACTGGAGAGATAATGTTGAACAAGAGTCCCAATCTCTGCCTCCCATGTCAAAGCAACAGAAAGCCACTTCTAGCACAGGTCAGAGTGGTAGTGACTGAAAGTTAATGATATAAGCAATACAAATCTGATTCAAACATTTCCTATTTTTTATAATAGACACATGTGTCTGTAATAATTTGAGATTTATAAAAGCTCAGAAATTACATATTGGAATTCAGACAGTATTTTCAAACTTTTAAAGTGAGACATTTTTAAGAACACTTCACCTTGCCTCACAACAACAATTGCAAAGCAAAATCACCAGACCACTTTATTACCCATATTGCCAATATTCAGCACCATAATTAATTCTCAAATTCTGAGAAACAGATAGTTTTCAGGCACTGGCCAACCTTAATACAGTGACGAAAAACATCAGAGCTTAGAGCTATGGAATTGATGTCAGTGTTTGATTTTTCAAATAAACTTCATTATAAAAACCTCAGTCCATGCCAGGGCTGGTATCTTTTTCTCCACCTGCTGCCTGTGGATCAAGATGTAAAGCCATCAGCTACTGCTCCAATGCCATGCTTGGCTGCTTCCTGCCATAATGATAATAGACTAACCCTCTGAAACTGTTCAAATTGTCCCAGCACTGGCTAGCTAGAGCTCGTTCAGTTTGGCTTGCATCTCTTTGACATGCATCAATCCAAACTTTATCAAGGAACATCATTTACACACTAGTTGTGAGATTTAACATTTTAAATATATTGTATGTTTGTTGTTCAAAGACCTCATACTCCAGAAGTCTCTGTAATAAAGGCAGGTGTATTGTTTCTCTACTCTACAGAAATCAATGAAACAAGAAGGATGCATGAATGAAATATGGAAAATGATTTAGTAGACGTGGATTTGAAAGACAGACAAAATGCTGAGTTTGTAAAGAAGTAAATAAGAAAAGAGAGCATAATAATGAAGATAACTTGGTTTTCTTAGACAATATAAAACTCATTCACACAACAGACACTTAATCCACATGCCTGAGACAGAAACACTTTTATCTTCTTGTTTCCTTAAAGGTGAAGTGGGGCAGTGGTGGTGCACACCTTTAATCCCAGCAGGTAGTGGCAGTCAGATCTCTGAGTTCGAGGCCAACCTGGTCTGTACAGGAAATTCCAGGAAAGGCAAGACTACACATAGAAACCCTTTCTCAAAAAACAACAACAACAAAAACCAACCAAACAAACAAATAAAGTAGAATTAGATCTATTTTTTAAGACAAAAAAAGAGTATTTCAGGTGTCAAGGTATCAACAACAGCATTAGACAGAGAACATATCTTTTATTCCTTTGCACTGGAAGATTATGCGCTGGTGGGAAATTTAAGGAGCTATGATTGGGAAAGATGTCATGGGAAGAAACTCTACTCAGACCAATGAGCACTAAAAAAAGCGGATATATCACCACAGAAGCAAGTGTTTAAAATCCCAAGTGTTAAATTAAGAATTAATGAATAGTCTTGTTTGTACAAACTGGCACTTTAAGGGTGAGAAGAAATATGTACAAAAGTTAGGAGGCCTAAGGTCCCAGGACATCAGAGAGAGACAAGTCAATCCCTAAATGATCCCATCACAAATATTGCCTGTCAATGACAGTAATACAAGTGGAGAAAAAGATTCAGGAATATTCCAAAGAAATCTGATGACATAAAATATCTAGAAAAAATAAAACACTGACAAACAAGAGTCTAAAAAACAGGTACCTATACTTACACTTCTGATGAGCCTTCAGAAATGGATTTTTCTTACATTTTAATAAAAAAACCCATCAATATTCTTAAAAGGCATCCTCATGGAGGCTGGAATGATGGATCAGTGGTTTAGAGCATTTGTTACTCTTGAAGAGGACCCCAGTATCCTTTCTGCACCCACATGCTGACTCACAATCATCCCTATCATTCCAGAAAAACTGATGCCTTCTTCTGACCTCTATAGCATCAGGAACATACATGATACACAGACATTCATGTAGGTAAATCATTCATGCACATAAAATAAATAAATAAATAGATGTAAAAACTTTACAAAATACTTCCTTCATGGTACAACTGTTCACTTCATCTGTTTAAGGAAATTCGATATTTCAGTGCTTTGTGAAACACTCTAAACCATCAATATTTTATCTATTTTTAAATGCATCACACTAATCTATACAACATGGCACATAATTTAGAGGAAATGCGCACATATCGGGTATTCTTTAACATCAATAGTATATTGAAAAGCATATAATTAAGTATAGCAAGCCTCTTCCAAACATAGCCTTGAGATGGGATTAGTTGAGTAGAGTGGCAATAGCTAAATGGAGTAGAGATTTCAAACAACTGCAATCATAGTAACTGAGTCCCTGAAATACAACTGCCCAAATCGCTTTGATATTCTAGGACAAGAAACATATATAAATATATCCCCAAATGATATAGTGGTTTTTATCCCAGAATATCAAAATGATTTCTATTATCATTAATTTTGCCCTATTCAGGAATTTTGGGTTCATGGGCATTTAGCTTCTAGTTTTAGTTATAATCTAAGTATTATTTATTAACTCATTCACTTTAATTTCACAATTTTTAGCATCTGGCCACTCTTTCAGTTGGTTCTTTGAAGAGCCCCACAAATGTGCTTTACTAGCCTGGGTCAGTCTTCTCTATTTTCTGTCTTGTACATAGAATAAACCACTTCTGTAAACAGCCATATATCTTTGGACTGGAGAGTGTGATTGGAAACAAAGATCTGGATAGTAAAAAAAATATGAAAGCATTCTGTTACTGCATATTATTTAATAATCTAAGATCACCCTCTAGCTCATCACTGTCCAGCAGAACTTTCTGTGATCATGAGGATGGTGGTGGCCATGGAAGTGTTCTGTCTCCGCCCCATCCAATTCAGTAGTCACTACTTACATGAAATGTGGCTTTGAAAACCAATGAAGTCATGCTATAATTTTACTTAGCTTGAATTAATTTAAATTTAGATAGTCACATGCAGATAATGAACAGGGCAAATGTAGTACTAACCAGGAAGCAGTTCTGCGAGTATCAGGAGAAAAAAATTCTTTCTTTGGATTAAATTTACTTTATATTGAAAATAATATTTAAAATTGAGAAAATAAAAATACCCACATTAACCAAATTGTGAATAAATTACAGGCTAAAGATTAATACCCAATTTAAACAAAACCCTGGCTTACAATCTTCCTCATTGACTTGACTGAATTAATAAACAAAGCAAAACTGCATATGTGGTTGAAATGTACATGACTGCTTCTAAAAATAAATGTTTATCATCTAAGGAAAAGAATTCAAGATGTGTATGCTTAAATTAATCAACATTCTAAAGAGTTTAAATGTGCTCTATTTTGGTGATGATTATTCATTCATTTATTACCTACAATGCGGTCCTTGCTTATTTGGAAGATTAGACTACTATGGTGCCACAGCAAAAACACTGCCCAATTGGATGTATTTACTAGGTGCATTTCAAATGATTTCATTTCTATCCCCTTCCATGTAAAGTTGCTTCATTTTTTAGTTAAAAATAATATAACTAAATGATCATACAATTTTTGTGTTTGATTTCAAAACCAACGTTCAAATATATTACTTCTTTGAAATGCATACCTCCATTAAATGAAAATAAGGGTGACATATCTTTCCAACAGGTGACAATTACATATCCAAGGAGCTAAAACGACACGCATCAATTTTGCACAAGAAAGTTTTAACTAAAATTAGTTTTGCTGAAATGGAAATTAAAGACCTTAGACATCACTGAGAGTATTTTGATTAAAATAACGTCTTCCTGATTAGCTGTGCAGAAATTTGATTTTAAACGTGAATATGAAAATCATTTACAGATGTTTGGGTTTGAGGGTGGCAAATTATTCTTCCAACATGTTTACTAGGTTCCTTGCAACCTGCCTGATACAAAAAAAATAGCCTTTTTAGGAAACAAATGCAGGTTGAGCATGGAACTATACTTTTATAGAGATTATCATTTTTCCTATAGCCGTATTATCAACTAATGGCTCAGGATCAGTAAAGTGACTTGGATCTCTGTGACTAACACGTATAGATTACCTAAAGCTTCCTTTATATGCCTTCCATATAAAGGTGACTACTGCAGATGATATTATATTTCCATGCCACCTGCTGTGCTTTGGCCAGCTAAAACATATATGCATAAATACACAGCATATATCAAACAGTGCTGACAACAACAACATCACACCATTAATTAAGAAAAAATACGCAGGTATTTGTGGCTCACTCTGATTGGGCCATCTACTGAAAGTTACAATCAAGATCCCAACATCATGCTAAATCATTGTTTAATAGAAAAATGAGGTACAAGGTATAGGCCCCATTTGAATGTAATATATATTCCTTTTTTGAAAATTTTTCATTTTACATACCAACCCTATCCCTCCCCTCCTCCTACTTCCCCCACCCAACCCCCATCCACTCCTCAGAAAGGGGCAGGCCTCCCATGGGGAGTCAACAAAGCCTGGCCTATCAAGTTAAGGCAGGACCAAGCTCCTCCCCCTGCATCAAGGTTGAACAAGGTATCTCACCATAGGGAATGGGCTCCAAAAACCCACTTCATGCACCAGGGACAGATCCTGGTCCCACTGCCAGGGGCCCCACAAACAGACCAAGCCACATAACTGTCATTCACATTCAGAGGGCCTAGTTCTGTCCCATGCAAGCTCCCCAGCTGTCAGTCCAGATCCCATGAGCAGCCACTAGCTTGGGTCAGTTATCTCTGTGGGTTTCCCCATCATGATCTTGACCCCTCCTGCTCATTTAATCCCTCCTCCCTCTCTTCGACTGGACTCTAGGAGAGCCATTATGGAGTTAGGGAGAAACCTGTGCTAGGGAAGTTCCCAGGAATCCACAAGGACAACCCCAGCTAACACTACTAGCAATAGTGGAGAGGGTGCCTGAACTGGCCTTCCCCTGTAATCATATTGGTGAATACCCTAACTGTCATCATAGAACCTCCATCCAGTAACTGAGGGAAGCAGATGCAGAGATCCACAGCCAACCACTGGGTAATATCCATTCTTATAAAGAAAAATAGATAATGTATTCAAATCTGAGTGGTAAGATTATATTTTATTTATAAATTTCCATATTCTCAAATATAGTGAATATCCATTATATTCATCATCAGTAAAATTATATATAGATATATGTACATACTTATAATAAAAGTCATTCATGTATCTGTTGTGATCCTATGTCTAATATAGAACAGAGTAAGGCTTTACATAAAGAATTATGCTGACTAAAGGTATGCTCATAGAGGGTTGGTACAGAAAACCTATGGTTTGACCCAAACTAGCTAACAAATGAAAAAGATGACCAAGATTTTCCTCACCTATTAAATAAAAACAAAACTCTAAGATAAAGTAACTAAGTAACATGTTTCCAGCTCTATGACCAGGATAGATCATGGAATAAATTCAAAATTGCTTTCTGGTGACTTCTGACTCCATATAACATCTTTGTTAAAACATTTAATAATGGATATTTAAAGATTTACTACTAACCACAAGACAGTATTACAATTAATGTTTTTCCAAATCATAAAATAGCAAGGAAATAAAATCAAAATTTTTAATCATATCACCCAGAAGTAATCATGATTGTTATATTATCTTCTTTTAATTTATTATCATTAATGTTGTGTGTCATGACTTTTCACATACTTTATCTTGAGCATGTTTTTGTATCATTAAATATGTTTATAAAATTGCATGCTAATGACAGCCTAACATTACTCATGACTTAAAAGAGTTCCCTTGTTTGATAAACAATATTATTGTAGCTACCATAAACTTAACTTACCATCAGAACAGATTCAAAATATACAAGGCATTAGCTTTAAAAACTCAGCCAAGGGACTTTCCAAATAAATTGTGTCTCCTGAGCTTAATAAACACCGGAATTTGAGGCTCTAAAAATGATTTTGTTCTGCTCAAATTCCTAAAATCAACCATATTGTTACATAAGTCAATTGTATAATTTCTGCAATCATTCCTACAACTCGAAAACTACTCTTCATGGGAAATCTTCGCTAACCGAGCACTCCATGAGCCTCTCTCTCCTCTCTCCACAAATATGCTCACGTAGTCTTGAGCCCCAGCTTAGGGGAAGCACTGAACTAAAACAGAAATCTTATCTTTAAGCACAAACTGTGCTTTCTGAGTAAATTTACATGTTTACCTTTCGAACTAAATAAAGAAAACGGGAAAACAAAGAAACTGGGAAACACATTTCAGAAGCTGTGTAAGCCAATTTTACCGCAGACTGACCTCCCAATCATCAACACAGAACATATTTGCTAAACAAGAGTTCTGAAAATAACCAGCACGCTAATCACAATCTCTTGGAAGTCTGGGAGAAGAAGATTTTTGTAAAAAATTTGCAATTTTAGTCTAAAGAGAAATTCGACTTCCAGTTGCCGTAGGTGGTTGTTAGATCCATTCCTTACCTGCAAGGCAGTTTAAGATCAGAAAGACCTTCCAAAATGCGAACACCATCATTCTGAGAATCGCTTGGAGCAGCAGGTGCCAGTCAGGAGCTTGCCTGAACTAGGCTGAGTTTCAGACTGGCTTCTTCAATCACACCGAGGTTTGCCTGGCTTATCTGCTGGGCATCATCAAGCAAATAGGCCTTTTCCAGCTTGCTTATTGGGTACAGACCTCTCTGAGCAGATCTGTGTTTATTTGAAACACTTTCCCCGGGGTGTGTTCCCTTGATATATTTGCTACTGTGTTAATAATAAACTCGTGGATTTAAATTCTTCCAGCTCTTTGTACAGATTCTCTTAGGTTTCATTGTTTAAAATCAACCTTATTAAAAACTTGTACTTGGAGGAGAGAAGATATAGTTGGAAGAGAACGTATGCAAATATAATTTGACAAGGCTAATTAATTTCAAATAGTTCCACAAAGATATAGTTGGAAGAGAACTTATACAAATAAAATTTGACAAGGCTAATTAACTTCCCATAGTTCCACAAAAGTCTTAGAGCATTGATCCACTAAGCACCTTTCATAAACTAGGTTAGTAAACTGGTGATACAGTTTTTTCAGGGGATTTGAGGTTCAGAAGAAGGGCCCAGGGACTATGAAGTAAAAATGTATTCATTCTATGGGATCAAATTCAAGGCACATGACTTTTTTTTTGAAGGACCACCAGTATAAACACCTTCTATCAAAATTGGAAGTAAAATTCCATTCTCATGTCTCCGAAGTTAGAAACACGGTAACACTCACTAACCTAATGTGCAAAATCAGGTAAGTGAATAGATGCTCCAAGTCTGGCATTAGGTGAGTCTGCATTTTTGCAGAATTAAGTTACTTCATAGATGCTACAGGGTTTCTTCAGAAATTAGAGGTTCACTAGAAGGGCATGGGAAAATGTGAGCATGAATTTCAGACAGAGTTCCTCTCATGCTTAAGGAACTCTGAGAAACCTAAGGGCCTACCTGAGTCCTGCTGCTTCCATCCTCACAGTGACTCTCAAATTTGTCCCTTCTCCAACCTGCTGCTTCCGTTGTGATCTAGTTTACAGCAGCAGCCTCCTGAATGCTCTTCTGGACTTTTTTCTCCTTCATCAGTATACCAGTCTCAGGCTAATGTCCCAACTCTAATGATGCATTTTCATTAACATTGTCTGTGGACTGCCAGCAAGCCTAGAGTCTTTCATCTGGATCCGCAGCTTTTCATGATCTAGTCCTCATTACATCTGAACTATAGCCACAATAAATGCTGCAAAAATTTATTGCTCAAAGTGTTTAGTCAGATGAAAAGCACTCATTTCAAATGATATGTTTTATGAACTTTAATTTACAAAAAAACTATTTTACTTCCAACTTTCTTTAGCGAAGTGAATTCCTCCCTCTTCAGAAAACCATTTCACGTCTATCAGACCTAACACCTCCTTCCAGACTTTTCCTATCCACACCCATGACTGAGACCAAACCTTAAGACTTCCATTCCTCAGAATTTTCTATTCCCTCACTTTGATGTCTAAGCATATTCTTAGGCTTTGTAAATGTACATGCCAGCTCTCTCTGGGATACCTCTGTCATAAATTTACATTTTGTTTGGAGGCAATCAGTATTGGACAGTTGATACTCAATTGTTCTCTGTAGTTTCCTTTTTATTAACTGAGTCTCACCTAAATCCAGTGACTGTGAACCCTTTGAGGGAGAGTGAGACCCTTAAGGGAGAAAGATCAGTCCTTATACAGGAAGGTCATAACTTAAGAGTGTGTCCAAAAATGTACCTAGTAATCCATTATTATTGCAGAAGCAATATGATGAGTCATATTCCCAGACCTATGCAGATGTTACTTGAGAATCAGCCTAATTCTGGGTATTAGGCAATAGAGAATGGGGAGAAAGAGAAGAAATAGCAGGTGGCAGAGTTTAAAAACATGTTTTCCCGTTCAAGGCAAGAACTGTGCACAAGACATTTTTCTGCAAATAAGTATTGCATGCCCCTGATACCTCCTTTCCTTTCTGAGCCCACCTTCACAGTCCCCTGGGTTCCTAGGTTGTCATTAAGGGAAAATTCACTCCGCAGATATCTCATACTCCAAATTTCTTTTTTCTTTCTATCTGTATTCCTCCAGGAAACAGTCCCTTCTGTAAAAGAAGATCCCAGCTTCAAGGCAGGAGAGAACAATGAACAATTTGCAACCTTTTTTTCACTATTTGATGATCAATTGCTTCTGTTCTCTGAATAAATTTTGGATCATGAGAATTAATCAATGTGATGAGGATAAAAAGTATAAGGAAAGTTCTGCACCAGAGGACAGCTCGTAGGGTGGCCCTCTGGAGGCCTTCACCAGTTCTTATGAGCCCTGGTTAAGCCTCGGCTTTTAGAAGTCTCCCAAAGATCCACCATTTTCATTTAGAAACCACTGGCATTTCTATTGGTATGGGAGTCAGGTAGAGAAAGAGAGCTTGTTTTGATTTAGCCATTTTCTGTTTTTTCTTTCTTGTTGAGATTTTCACTATGTGAGTACTGTATTTATATCATCTCCACGCCCATCTCCCCACTCTATTTCCTCCCATTCCCCCTTCCTCTCAAATTCGTGACCTAGTCTTCTTTTTAGGTATGGTGTTTTTCAACCAGGGGCTTTCTATGTTTCCTCCCATGTTCCATATGTGACCATAGTAGAGTGTCAATATAACTGATTGCCTGGTTGGTTTGTATCAACTGGACGATAACCTAGACATATCTGGGAAAAGGAGATCTCAACTGAGAAAATGCCTCCATATTTGGCCTATAGGCAAGCCTACATGACGCTTTCTTGATTAATGATTGATGTGGGGGGTGCACAAACCACTGTGGTACTGGGGTGTATAAGAAAGCAAACTGAGAAAGCCAGGGGAAGCAAGGCACTAAGCAGCATTTCTCCATGGCTTCTGCTTCAGGTCCTGCCTTAAATTCCTGCTTTGGCTTCCTCCACTGGACTGTGACCTGGAATATGTAAGCCAAAGAACACTTTCCCCGGGTTGTTTTTTGTTATCTTGTGTTATCACAGCAATAGAAACCCTAAGGCATTCATTATAACTAGGATACTTGGTGGAATGAAAAGGGCATTATTGGCAATTATACAAGATGGTCAGGGTAAACTGAGACAGACCCAGATAAACCTGGATATCTAGCCACCTAGCCATAGAGGAATGAATGCTAGACACTAAGCATGGAAAAGCTTGCTGACTAATGCTACATGACTAAAGTAATTGGCTTTAAGATTAGTGAAGTAGAGTAAACCTATCTGTATTGGGATAGTTCACACAAAACACTCTGGAACATTCAAGTGAAATATCTATACTGCTGCTACATAAAACTCAGGAGTTCCATTAAACTCTAGGAAATCATGCAAATCACCTACTTGGAACTGAATTTTTATGTTGCTTGACCACTGCTCAAAAGAAGTGGTCCGTTAACTGGCACATAAAATATGAGCCTTCACATTTTTAGAGGGCTCTATAATTTTTAAACTGCTTTTCCATTTTCTTTCCATAACTAGAGATAAAATAAGTAAGGCAGGTATTATCTACATTTTCTACATGAGAAAACTGAAGTTCAGAAACATCGTGTTTTTTCCCCAAGGCCACACAGTGCATATTAGAGGCTGTTCCCATCACACTCCACAGTGGCACACTGATTATATTGTAACAAATGTGCTGACTGTTGAGTTCTCTCCTGGGAACGTTCAGAAAAGTGTGGCCTTATCACTCCCTCATTTTCTTCTTAAAATTTTTCCTCCCTCCTCTTCTTCCATTTCTTCCCCCCACGTCCCATCTACCCCCCAACCAGTCCTCCTCCATTTCCATTCAGAAAGGTACTCTCTCATTTTTAACTTAAAAATTATAAAAGTAATTCATTTAGAATGCAAAGGAATTTTAAAAATAAAGGGACGTACAAAAGAAAATCCCACCACTAGTCCTTCACCCAAATGTTCAGTTTCATCCTCATACTCACAAGCAACAGGCTGTTAGCATTTTCTATGCAATTTTACAGAGAAACACACAATGAACTTGAGTGTGGTAGCTCATATGCCTTTAATCCCAGTACATGAGAAGCTGAGGTAGGAAGATTTCTCTGAGTTCAAGGCCAACCTAGGCAAAAGTCTGAGATTCTGTCTCAAAGAAACAAACAAACAAGCAAAACCTAGAAACAAAATCCTTTCAAGAGACACAATGATTTTTAACAGAAAATTGATCATGTTATGCATATTACTCTGTATTTTGATTTTCCTACATAAAAAGCATCTTTATTATCTTTGTCTTTATGTCCAATTACATCTTCAGGTGTGCCCTACTTGTTTTGAAGACTACATAATATTTCATAGTATAAGCATACTATACCTTTTTCTATACCAATAGAAAATGAATAATAGAATAAATCATTTCCATGTTTTACTACTATGAACGATGGTGCAAAGAACATCTTTTGCTTATATTTTGCCCATTCATATGACCATTGTTGTCAATTAGGTATCTATAGGTTGTATAATTGTTTCTGTAGATTGGGTTCCTAGTGAAGGATTGCTGAATGAAAGAACACTGGTATGTAAAGTTTTGGTGGACTACAAACTTGTCCACCAGAAACTGTTCATAAACCTAAATCTCTACCAAGAATGTGAAAGAGTGCATGTTTCTCAAAGCCTTGTTAACAATGAGAACGTTTCTTTCATTTGCGCTGTTATCACAGTTACAACGTGATACTGCCCTGCCTTCACAGCTGTACCTCGACCAATATGTTCTATGCTGCTGATGGAGCAAGATAGGTTCCAAGTTAAATCAAGTCTAGTGCCTTTTCTGTTTTTCTCAGAGCTATGGATTCTGAACTCTTGCAAGGTGGCTAGGAATTTTTTAAATCTTTTTCCACTTTTCATGTGTGTAGGCATATATGTGACATATGTGTCTGCGTGCCTGTGTAGACCCAAGGTTAATGCTGCGAATCACCCTCAATCATTCTTAAAATGGCTAGTTTGAATTGAGATGTGTTGTAGTACAACACACACATCAGACTACATGTTGAAATAACATCTGGAATCCATTGGATTAAATAAAGCATAATATTAAAAATTTTTAAAGTTTTTTTTTAAAAAAAAAAAAAC